CCGCCGTAGCACGAAGGCAATGTTGGGATCACCTTGGGTCCATCCGGGGGCACCTAGGGCCGTCTTGGGGCGTCTTGAAGGCATAATGGGCCCTGCACGACCTGATTTTCTCGAGTCCCTGGCTCCCAAAACTCTCGACCTCTACCCCAGGAAGCGCTTCATAGTGTGAGTCCCACGGGGCCCAGAAGCGCCCCTGGACGCCGAACATTGGGTACAAAACTCTAGCGCGACTCTTTCCGAGTCGCTGGGATTCTGGATCCGCTCCGCTTCAAAGTCGGCCTCCGCGGACCTCATGGGGTGCGCTCCGACCAGAATATTTCGAGGCGGATCCCGCCGTGCGTCGAGGGCACCCCAGGAGGCCCCAAGGGGGGCGCAACAAAACATTCAGCAGAACTGAGTCCGCCACCGTGGTCCCTGGCAAGTCGAGGCCCGAGAAGGCCTCAAGATGGCACAAGAAGCTTCCAAGGCGCCCCAAGAGGCCTCCAAGAGGTCTCCCAAGATAACCCCCAAAGGCAAAACATCATTAATGTTCCTTGCGCTTTTGAAGGATTTGGGCGTTCTCGCCGTTTCGGCTGTCCGACGCTCCAAGCCGGACCAAGAGGCTCCCAAGACCACCCCAAAACGGCCCAAGAGGCCTCCAAGAGGGCCCCAAAACGGCCTAAGAGACCTCCAAGACGGCACAAGAGGCGCCCAAAACGGCCTAAGAGGGCCCCAAGACAGCCTAAGAGCGCCCCAAGACGGCCCAAGAGGCGCCCAAGACGGCCCACGAGGGCCCCAAGACGGTCCCCAAGAGGAGCCCCAGAGAGAGAACACGAACCGAAAGTCAGAGCCTTCCGCCCCAAGGGGCCCCCAGGAGTGGGAGGCCCCAAGAGGCCCCCAAGAGGCCCCAAGAGGCCCCCAAGAGGCCTCCAAAAGGCTCCCAACAGGGAGGCCCCCAATATGCGCCCAAAAAGCCTCAAAACTTCCTCCGAGAGGCCCCCGACACCAAGAACCAGGCATACCCCGCCAGGTGGCGGGACCGTAGGTAGAGGCGAAGAGACTGTCCCACCTCGATCTTGCAGGAGGGTTGACCTGCCGTTCGCTTCCATCCCATGAGCTCGTGATGGGCCGTTCCCGTCTTCCATCAGTGCCCGCCCCATGGCGGCGGCACCTAGGGCCGGCTTGGGGACGTCGCTTCGGGAAGGCATTAACTGGGAAGCGACAGCGCATTTTCTCGGGAGTCCCTGGCCCTCCACAAACCTCTCGACCGGCCATACCCCAGGAAGCGCTTCATAGTCCTCCAGACGGCCACGCCCACAAAGGGGTCCCAGAACGCGGCCTTCTTCTGCGACGCGCCTGGAACATTGGGTACAACGGCTCGCCACCAAGACGCCGACCTTTCCGCCAGTCGCTGTCCCGCAGATTCTGATGATCCGCCCTTCCTCCGCGTTCAAAGTCGGCCTCCGCGGACCTCATGGGAAGTGACGCTCCGACCAGAATGACACCTTTCGAGGCGGGAGCCCCGCCGTGCGTCGAGGGCACCACCAGGAGGCCCCAAGGGGGGTCACAGGACAAAAACATTCCGCCAGCAGAGCCACTGAGTCCGCCACCGTGCGTCCCTGGCAAGTCGCAGGCGGGGCCGAGAACGGCGCTCGAAGCATGGCACAAGCATCCGAGCTTCCAGAGGCGCCCCAAGGCCGAGAGGCCTCCTGAAGAGGTGCCTCCCAAGATAAGCCCCCAGTGGGGAATGCGAAAACATCATTAATGTTCCTTGCGCTTTTGCAAGGATTTGCAGGCGATTCTACGCCGTTTCGGCACCTGTGGCCGACGCTCCAAGTCCCCGGACCAAGCAGGCTCCCAAGACCACCCCAAAACGGCCCAAGAGGCCTCCAAGAGGGGGCCGCCAAGACGGCACAAGAGGCGCCCAAAACGGCCTAAGAGGGCCCCCAAGAGCCCCAAGACGGCCCAAGAGGCGCCCAAGACGGCCCACGAGGGCCCAAGACAGTCCCCAAAGGAGCCTCCAGAACACACACCGAAAAGAGCGCCCCAAGGGGCCCCCAGGAGTGGGAGGCCCCAAGAGGCCCCCAAGAGGCCCCAAGAGGCCCCCAAGAGGCCTCCAAAAGCTCCCAAACCAATAGGCCCCCAAAGCCCTCAAAGGAGCCTCAAAACTTCCTCCAAGAGGCCCCCGGAGGTGGAGATTCCACGAACATCCACCCGCGCGGGTGTGTGCCGTAGGCAGCTGGAACTCGATCCCCCTGCTCCGTGCCCTGGAGGCCCCCAAGAGGCCCCCAAAGGATCCCAAACCTCGCGCAGGAGGGTTGACCTGACCGTTCGCTCCTCCACGCGCCCCCGCGAGCGGAGGAATGACTCCGGAAGCCGTTCTGAGCGGCCGTTTTCCGGCGAACGCCAATGCAACGTATCACGTGTAAAATATTTCATACTTGCTACCCATGGTGCTCACCCACAATGCCTCTCCTAAGGGGCCTCCCTGGAGGTCGCGCCACATCGCGCGGACCAGTCCAACCCCCTTTGGGGGCCCAAAAACGTACCAACACGCATGGAAAATCTATGATATCGGCCTCTGGGGCCTGGGGTCCAAGAAGGCTCAAGACGGCTCGATGCAGCTGCTCGAAGGCCAAGACGGCCCGGGAGCCCCACGGCTCCCAAGACGGCTGAGGGCCACAAAGAGGCCCCGCAGGCCGCCAGAGGTCAAACATATTGCTTCCAGGCTTTGTCACCCAAGGAAGCCCAAGGAGCCACAAGGCGGCCCCTGAGGCCCTCCTGACGGCCTCCGAAGGGGCCAGACGGCGAAGGTATAACCCAAGACGGCCTAAGAGGCCTCCAATAGGCCCCAAGAGGCCCCAAGAAGCTCCAAAGAGGCTCCTAAGAGGGACCCTGGGGCCCCCAAGAAGCCTCCAAGAGACCCCCGAGAAGCCTCCGAACGGCCCTAAGGAACCGAACCACCAAGAGGCCCGCGGAACTGTATACGATGGCGCTGCTTGGTGCTGACGCGCGGTGAATGCTTATTGCCCTCGTGTACATTAACACGCTCGTCCCGGCGCTGAAACGAGGGGGGGCAGGGCGCATCCGCCTCCCGTGGCGCTGCCACCCGACGCCCAGTCTTTGCGTGATCCGGACGTGCACCCCGCGGAGCGAGAGGAATCACATTCTGCAGTCATTACCCGCGCCAGAAGGACAGCAGATCAGGAGAGCAGCCAGGGACGAGGTGAAGGGGCGGGAAGCAGTGAGCTGCGCCACCCACACAAAAACTCCTCAGCAGCGAGCTGCCTGATGGTCGCGCCAGCTCAAGCCTGAACATGCTCGTCAGCCGCCCCGCCGTAGCACGAAGGCAATGTTGGGATCACCTTGGGTCCATCCGGGGGCACCTAGGGCCGTCTTGGGGCGTCTTGAAGGCATAATGGGCCCTGCACGACCTGATTTTCTCGAGTCCCTGGCTCCCAAAACTCTCGACCTCTACCCCAGGAAGCGCTTCATAGTGTGAGTCCCACGGGGCCCAGAAGCGCCCCTGGACGCCGAACATTGGGTACAAAACTCTAGCGCGACTCTTTCCGAGTCGCTGGGATTCTGGATCCGCTCCGCTTCAAAGTCGGCCTCCGCGGACCTCATGGGGTGCGCTCCGACCAGAATATTTCGAGGCGGATCCCGCCGTGCGTCGAGGGCACCCCAGGAGGCCCCAAGGGGGGCGCAACAAAACATTCAGCAGAACTGAGTCCGCCACCGTGGTCCCTGGCAAGTCGAGGCCCGAGAAGGCCTCAAGATGGCACAAGAAGCTTCCAAGGCGCCCCAAGAGGCCTCCAAGAGGTCTCCCAAGATAACCCCCAAAGGCAAAACATCATTAATGTTCCTTGCGCTTTTGAAGGATTTGGGCGTTCTCGCCGTTTCGGCTGTCCGACGCTCCAAGCCGGACCAAGAGGCTCCCAAGACCACCCCAAAACGGCCCAAGAGGCCTCCAAGAGGGCCCCAAAACGGCCTAAGAGACCTCCAAGACGGCACAAGAGGCGCCCAAAACGGCCTAAGAGGGCCCCAAGACAGCCTAAGAGCGCCCCAAGACGGCCCAAGAGGCGCCCAAGACGGCCCACGAGGGCCCCAAGACGGTCCCCAAGAGGAGCCCCAGAGAGAGAACACGAACCGAAAGTCAGAGCCTTCCGCCCCAAGGGGCCCCCAGGAGTGGGAGGCCCCAAGAGGCCCCCAAGAGGCCCCAAGAGGCCCCCAAGAGGCCTCCAAAAGGCTCCCAACAGGCCCAAGAGGCCCCCAATATGCCCTCAAGACGCCCAAAAAGCCTCAAGCCTCCAAGAGGCCCCCGAGAGGTCTCCTACGAGATTCCAACGAACATCCACTAGGCTTATACCCCAGAACCCAGGCACGGGGCGGGACTTGCCGTAGGCAGCTGGATACTCGATCCTCCCTCTCCGTGCCTCTGGAGGCCCCCAAGAGGCCCCCAAAGGCCCGAGACTGTCCCAAACCTCGATCTTGCAGGAGGGTTGACCTGACCGTTCGCTCCCTCCAGCGCGCCGCGCCGCGAGCGGGAGGCCCATGAGCTCTGTGATGGGCCGTTCTGGGGCCGTCTTCTGGTGCGGCCAGTGCTTTTACTGCTGGCACGTGCGAAAAATATGCTGCGCGACGTGCCCGCCCCATGGCGGCGGCACCGGCGGAGAGAGGTTGCCTGGTCCGCAAGAGAGCAGCTGCTTGCCGAGACTGGGGAGAGGTCATGCACGAAGAGTCGGATCAGTCCAGGCTTCCACCAAAGGCGGCGCCGAGGGACTACCGAAAAAGGCAGGTGGCCATGACTCGCATGCTTCACTGATGACCCGCGCGGGAAGGACAGCGGATCAGGAGAGCAGCCAGGGAGGAGGTGAAGGGGCGGGAAGCAGTGAGCTGCGCCACCCACACAACAACTCCTCCTCAGCAGCGAGCTGCCTGATGGTCGCGCCAGCTCAAGCCTGAACACGATCGACAGTCGCCTCGCCGTAGCACGAAGGCAGCTGAGCAGGGATTGGCTGCTACTTTTGGTCTGCTGCCTTCCCCACCGTGCCCAGCATCACCGGGACCGCGGGAGCTCCCACCGGCTGTCCGACCACGGCTGAGGGCCGCATCGTCGGGGGGGCCCGTCCAGGCCGCCGTAGGTCCTCGCAGACGGGCTTCAGCAGGTTTCCGTCACCCAATCGGAAGCAGCACTTGGTATGCACATCGGTGATCTCGTCCACCTGCCTGCCCTCCTGCACGGCCATGCAGAAGGGGAACCACCAATAGCAGCAGAAGTCCTTGGTCCACCGACTCTCGGGCGCCGGGTCCCCGAGCGCCTCGCGGAGCTTCATTCGCTGGCCAGCGAGCCAGGCCGCCAGCAACATGTGCGAAAAGAAGGCGCCCGTGCCCATCAGGCCGTCGGACCAGTTGTCGTCAGACCAGCCGTCCCAACTGACCATCATGGGCATGAGTAGCTTCCACACCACGGCGATGAGCTGGCCGGACAAGCCGACTGCCACGACGGCGTGGACGTACGCAAAGTAGCCCGGCCCGCCGATGTTCGCCGCCGTGTAGGTGTCGCCGAGCCGGGCGCCGAGGCAGAGGCAGGCGTACCAGCAGTAGACGTGGTCCTGCAAGCAGCAGTCGCCGCAGCAGGTGTACCTCCACACGCCACCGCTCCATGCGATCGCGAGGCTGAGGGGGGGATTCCCCTCCCAGCCCTTCCAGGGCCCTCGCTTGTCGACGATCCCGCGCTTGTAGAGGAAGGCGCCGACATACGTCAGAACGACGCTGATGATCACAGCCAGCATCCATTGAAGTTCACTGGATCGGGGGTCCCACCAGGGAGCGTCTGCGCCTTCCTGCTGGGAAAGGCGGCGCGAGTCCGCATGGAGCGTGCCATTGAGATACGGCCACGCCGCCCAGTCGGGTGCCCCCGCGGAGAGCACCTCCAGTTGTGCCTGGCCTGACTCCGGTAGCACGCCCTTGAGAGCCTCCAGCGCCGCGGCGTCGAAGTGGCCCCCCACGGACCAATGGAGCGCATGAAAGAGAAGCACCGCGGGGTGTCCCAGCAGAGACACGATCAACAGCAGCATCGCGAGTCTGAAGCACTCGATGCAATCTGCCCACGCAGCCGTTGAAGAGGATAAAACGACGCTGTCCTTGAGCCAAAACGGCTATATATGAACCGTCTTGGGGCCGTCTTGGAGCCGTCGAGGTGCCGCCGCGGAGGCCAGCAAGGAACTCCCGAGGATATGGTGGGGCCGTCATGCGTCCATCTGGGGCATCTTGAGCCGTCTTTGATCTTGGGGCGTCTTGAGGGCCTTCTGGGCCCTCCCGGAGGCCTCTCCCCACTCCGAGTCGCGTTGCGGGGCCCAGAAGCGCAGACAAGTCTGCGAGAAGGCAGGGTCTGCTCCAGAAGCGGATCCCGGGGTGCGCTTGGGACAAGGGCATTAGCATCCGAGGTCCCGCGGAATGCAGACTCACGGGGCCGAGACCCTCGGGCCAGGTCACGAAGCTCCAGCACACTGGCCGAGAGAGGTTGCCAGGTCTGCAAAAGCAGAGCATCTGCTGGGACAGGTTAGATGTCATGCACTCAGCGTCGGGCCAGTCAAAGCTCCCACCTAAAGGGTGGCGCCGAGGGACTACCGAAAAAGGCAGGTGGCCATGACTCGCGTTCTTTCCTACTCGCGCGGGAAGGACAGCGGATCAGGAGAGCAGCCAGGGCTCGGCAGGGGTTGGCTGCTACTTTTGGTCTGCTGCCTTCCCCACCGTGCCCAGCATCACCGGGACCGCGGGAGCTCCCACCGGCTGTCCGACCACGGCAGAGGGCCGCATCGTCGGGGGGGCCCGTCCAGGCCGCCGTAGGTCCTCGCAGACGGGCTTCAGCAGGTTTCCGTCACCCAATCGGAAGCAGCACTTGGTATGCACATCGGTGATCTCGTCCACCTGCCTGCCCTCCTGCACGGCCATGCAGAAGGGGAACCACCAATAGCAGCAGAAGTCCTTGGTCCACCGACTCTCGGGCGCCGGGTCCCCGAGCGCCTCGCGGAGCTTCACTCGCTGGCCAGCGAGCCAGGCCGCCAGCAACATGTGCGAAAAGAAGGCGCCCGTGCCCACCAGGCCGTCGCACCAGTTGTCGTCAGGCCAGCCGTCCCAACTGACCATCATGGGCAGGAGTAGCTTCCACACCACGGCGATGAGCTGGCCGGACAAGCCGACTGCCACGACGGCGTGGACGTACGCAAAGTAGCCCGGCCCGCCGATGTTCGCCGCCGTGTAGGTGTCGCCGAGCCGGGCGCCGAGGCAGAGGCAGGCGTACCAGCAGTAGACGTGGTCCTGCAAGCAGCAGTCGCCGCAGCAGGTGTACCTCCACACGCCACCACTCCATGCGATCGCGAGGCTGAGGGGGGGATTCCCCTCCCAGCCCTTCCAGGGCCCTCGCTTGTCGACGATCCCGCGCTTGTAGAGGAAGGCGCCGACATACGTCAGAACGACGCTGATGATCACAGCCAGCATCCATTGAAGTTCACTGGATCGGGGGTCCCACCAGGGAGCGTCTGCGCCTTCCTGCTGGGAAAGGCGGCGCGAGTCCGCATGGAGCGTGCCATTGAGATACGGCCACGCCGCCCAGTCGGGTGCCCCCGCGGAGAGCACCTCCTGTTGTGCCTGGCCTGACTCCGGTAGCACGCCCTTGAGAGCCTCCAGCGCCGCGGCGTCGAAGTGGCCCCCCACGGACCAATGGAGCGCATGAAAGAGAAGCACCGCGGGGTGTCCCAGCAGAGACACGATCAACAGCAGCATCGCGAGTCTGAAGCACTCGATGCTATCTGCCCACGCAGCCGTTGAAGAGGATAAAACGACGCTGTCCTTGAGCCAAAACGGCTGTACATGAACCGTCTTGGGGCCGTCTTGGAGCCGTCGAGGTGCCGCCGCGGAGGCCAGCAAGGAGCCTACGAGGCAATGTTGGGACCACCTTGGGCCCATCTCGGGGCACCTCGGGCCGCGTCTTGAAGGCCTACTGGGCCCTGCACGAGGCCTCGTCTCTGACGACCTGATTTTCTCGAGTCTCTGGCTCCCGAAACTCTCGCCCTCTGCCCCAGGAAGCGCTTTACGCTTTGGGCCCTGTGCCGCTGCCAAGGGGCCCAGAAGCGCCCCTGGACGCCGAACATGTGTGAACAAAACCTCTAGCGCGACTCTTTCCGAGTCGCTGGAAGTCTGGATCCGCTCCGCTTCAAAGTCGACCTCCGCTGACCTCATGGGGTGCGCTCCGACCAGGATATTTCGAGGCGGATCCCGCCCTGCGTCGAGGGCACCCCAGGAGGACCCAAGGGGCGCAACAAAACATTCAGCAGAACTAAAATCGCCACCGTGGTCCCTGGCACGTTGAGGCCCGAGACGGCCTCAAGATGGCGCAAAAAACTCCAGAGGCGCCCCAAGAGGCCTCCAAGAGGTCTCCCAAGAGGGCCCCCGAAGGCAAAAATATCAGTGACGTTCCTTGCGTTTTTGGAGGATGTGGGAGTTCTCGCCTTTTCGGCTTTCCGACGCTCCTAGACGGCCCAAGAGGCCCAAGAGCGCCCTAAGACGGCCTAAGAGCGCCCCACAAGGCGCCCAACACGGCCCAAGAGGGCCCCAAGACAGCCTAAGAGCGCCCGGCCCAAGGGGCGCCCAAGACGGCCCAAGAGGGCCCCAAGACGGCTCCCAGAGGGGACCCCACAGAGGGAACACGAACCGAAAGTCCGAGCCTTCCACCCCAAGGGGTCCCCAGGAGGCCCCAAGAGGCGCCCAAGGAGCCCCAAGAGGCCCCCAAGAGGCCCCCAAGAGGCCCCAAGAGGCCCCGAAGAGGTCCCGAAACGGCCCGCAAGAGGCCTCAAGCCTCCAAGAGGCCCCAGAGAGGTCTCCCGTCAAGGGGTCCCCAGGAGGCCCCAAGAGGCGCCCAAGGAGCCCCAAGAGGCCCCCAAGAGGCCCCCAAGAGGCCCCAAGAGGCCCCGAAGAGGTCCCGAAACGGCCCGCAAGAGGCCTCAAGCCTCCAAGAGGCCCCAGAGAGGTCTCCCGTCTACCACGAGATTCCAACGAACATCCAACAGGCTTATACCCCAGAACCCAGGCAAGGGGGCGGGACTTGCCGTAGGCAGCTGGATACTCGATCCTCCCTGCTCCGTGTCTCTGGAGGCCCCCAAGAGGCCCCCAAAGGCCCGAGACTGTCCCAAACCTCGATCTTGCAGGAGGGTTGACCTGACCGTTCGCTCCCTCCAGCGCGCCGCGCCGCGAGCGGGAGGCCCACGAGCTCTGTGAGGGGCCGTTCTGGGGCCGTCTTCTGGTGCGGCCAGTGCTTTTACTGCTGGCACGTGCGAAAAATATGCTGCGCGACGTGCCCGCCCCATGGCGGCGGCACCGGCGGAGAGAGGTTGCCAGGTCTGCACAAGGGGCAGAGCATCTCGCTGGGACAGGTTAGATGTCATGCACTCAGCGTCGGGCCAGTCCAAGCTCCCACCTAATTAGGGTGGCGCCGAGGGACTACGCACCGAAAAAGGCAGGTGGCCATGACTCGCGTTCTTTCCTAACTACTCGCGCGGGAAGGACAGCGGATCAGGAGAGCAGCCAGGGCTCGGCAGGGGTTGGCTGCTACTTTTGGTCTGCTGCCTTCCCCACCGTGCCCAGCATCACCGGGACCGCGGGAGCTCCCACCGGCTGTCCGACCACGGCTGAGGGCCGCATCGTCGGGGGGGCCCGTCCAGGCCGCCGTAGGTCCTCGCAGACGGGCTTCAGCAGGTTTCCGTCACCCAATCGGAAGCAGCACTTGGTATGCACATCGGTGATCTCGTCCACCTGCCTGCCCTCCTGCACGGCCATGCAGAAGGGGAACCACCAATAGCAGCAGAAGTCCTTGGTCCACCGACTCTCGGGCGCCGGGTCCCCGAGCGCCTCGCGGAGCTTCATTCGCTGGCCAGCGAGCCAGGCCGCCAGCAACGTGTGCGAAAAGAAGGCGCCCGTGCCCATCAGGCCGTGGGACCAGTTGTCGTCAGACCAGCCGTCCCAACTGACCGTCATGGGCATGAGTAGCTTCCACACCACGGCGATGAGCTGGCCGGACAAGCCGACTGCCACGACGGCGTGGACGTACGCAAAGTAGCCCGGCCCGCCGATGTTCGCCGCCGTGTAGGTGTCGCCGAGCCGGGCGCCGAGACAGAGGCAGGCGTACCAGCAGTAGACGTGGTCCTGCAAGCAGCAGTCGCCGCAGCAGGTGTACCTCCACACGCCACCACTCCATGCGATCGCGAGGCTGAGGGGGGGATTCCCCTCCCAGCCCTTCCAGGGCCCTCGCTTGTCGACGATCCCGCGCTTGTAGAGGAAGGCGCCGACATACGTGAGAATGACGCTGATGATCACAGCCAGCATCCATTGAAGTTCACTGGACTGGGGATCCAACCAGGGAGCGTCTGCGCCTTCCTGCTGGGAAAGGCGGCGCGAGTCCGCATGGAGTGTGCCATTGAGATACGGCCACGCCGCCCAGTCGGGTGCCCCCGCGGAGAGCACCTCCAGATGTGCCTGGCCTGACTCCGGCAGCACGCCCTTGAGAGCCTCCAGCGCCGCGGCGTCGAAGTGGCCCCCCACGGACCAATGGAGCGCATGAAAGAGAAGCACCGCGGGGTGTCCCAGCAGAGACACGATCAACAGCAGCATCGCGAGTCTGAAGCACTCGATGCAATCTGCCCACGCAGCCGATGAAGAGGATGAAACGACGGTGTCCTTGAGCCAAAACGGCTAATTTCATGAACCGTCTTGGGGCCGTCTTGGAGCCGTCGAGGTGCCGCCGCGGAGGCCAGCAGGGAACTCCCGAGGATATGGTGGGGCCAGTATGCGTCCATCTGGGGCATCTTGAGCTGTCTTTGATCTTAGGGCGTCTTGAGGGCCTTCTGGGCCCTCCAGGAGGACTCTCCCAAAACATCTCCTCCTCCTTCTCCTCATCATCATCGTCCTCCTCCTCTTCCTCCTCTCTCCTCGTCCTCCTCCTCCTCCTCCTCCTCCTCCTCCTCATCATCATCATCATCATCATCATCATCATCATCATCATCATCATCATCATCATCATCAT